ATCAATTTCCGTCTTTTTGTAACCATATAAACTGTGTAAATTCATAATCTGCTGAAAACCAACCCTTTTGGTATATAAATCTATTTTTCCTTTGATTTAAAGTAACTTGGTTAATCAGAAAGCTACACGGACAGCATCTGTCTAAACCGAAGTACAGCAGTGCACGTTCATGGTTGTTCGGAATAAGTTGCATGGGACCTGTTAATCACTTTCTTTGTTTCGATTCGGCTTTCCATTTTAACCGATAAGTAAGAACACGAGCCTTTTCGTGAGTTTCTTCGTTCTCGTAGCCGAATTTCTTTTCGAAACCTCGACAAGCTGTTTGTTTTCACTGTGGTCTGTGCTATGCACATACAACGCTCCAACCCCCAGACTTAGATTTCCGGTTTCCATTACCAAACAGTAGATGTTCATAATTATGGGTTTTGTTCCTTCTGTTGCTTATCACACACAGCTGTGTATTAAAAAGAAACGAAAGTGATTTCGATTTTACGACTGTGAGAGATAGGTCACAGTTACATGTGTGGGCTTTGAACTGTTTACGCTCAGCAACGATCGATAGCACATTGCATCTGGATTGCTGATTTATCTTGTCGTGGGCATAAGATCTGCTGAAATATAAATAAATGTCAGTTTCTTCATAAGCTTTTCGTGATAATATACTTCGAAAGTTACCGTTTTCATTCCTCACAATCTAATGCGTGTGTGCGTAAATGATTCACGAATACACCTGAATTGCCAAATCTTTCAGTGTGGTTTTATTCATATCTGCTGAATGTCGTCAACTCGTCTATGTGGTTCTCATGTGCACATTTTGATTCACTGATTCAATCTCGTTTTTGGTGTGTTGTAAACTTTAGATTTTTTAGGTTCTAAACCTTCAGTTTTTTTTGAAAAATTCGCAAACCTTGTCCTCGTTCTATTTCCTAATTTATTTTGCGCTTCATCATGGGCATCAATAAAGATGATCGGGTCGAATAATCCGACTGATTTAGCTTTACCTCTCCGCTTCACAAATGGAATCGGGAGGCGTTTGCGAGCAATTATGAATACCATGCACTACGAGACCGTTAGAGGTACGTAGTTGCTGATTCTACTTATCTTTGTCTACGAGATTTGGTTGACGTCTGTTGATGGGGATGGTTTCTACTCTCATGTCATCATCTTCAATCTGTGGTATGTCACTTCACGCCCCGACCGTTGTAGTACCGGATGCGTTGTTGTGACAACATTAACTTCAATGACTATAGGCTAGTAGATGTCCTGTTTTGCGTCTTTGACCTCAGTCAGTTAGAAGTATTTCTGCTTAACTAGGTTAACGTGAAACTGTTCAAATCAGTTCCGTTCCTTTCCAAGTTCAGGTTTTGTCGGATTTAAAAACAATGCGTGCACATTGCGCTTTCAGAATGTTTTGGAAGCATTGTTACCGCAGCCACAATACCGTACCGTTAATCCATAGTTCTCAATCGTTCGATTTTTCTTCCGTTGAATCTAAGTTTATTTAAAGTTTTCATCTTATACACAGTCATTAGGGCTTACTTTTAACCTCAATAGACTGCGAAAAACTGACCCCCGTATGAACGTGAGTACTGTTTAGTGTTATCAGTTTGTTTTGTGGTTTTGTAGCTTTTATTAAACGACCCTAGATGAAGCATCAGGCCTGCCAGATGCGAAGTTTTTCTTGTTGTTGGTTGTAAAGACAGTTAAAAGAAATAATAATCGTTTGATGCGATTCCTCTGCGAAAAAATTCGACTGGTGAACCGAGTCCACTCGATGGTTCCACACCTAAATGTCGAATACGGTCGTAGTGATTGGGACGATAGTTCAACAGTTGAGGCTTTACCTCAACTGACAGATGGACTTTCGCGATAACAGAAGTCAACTGAGCACGGTTTATGCAAACTAAACTATTATTTGTCTAACAAAGCATTTGATTAGCAACTTTGTTCGGATTCGTTGGAGCTACTAAATAGGGCGAGGTCAGATAGATAGTTGTTGTACAGTCACACGTAAAATACACTCCTTGAATAAAGAAATTGTTTTGATTTCCTTCAAAATCGCAGTTTGTTGAAATAACGATTAAAATAACTATTTAAGGATCATTTAGCTCAATCTCTTTTTTCACTGTACACGTTTCGTGCATTTGAAAAAGGAATTAGGGAAGCTTGCCATATATTTATATCCAGCTAAGACGCTGCATATCAACTCCGGGGTTCTACTAAATCCTGTATAATGAAGGTTGCACTGAATAATCGTATCCTTCGTTAAAAATGAAGAATAAAAAAATGGTACAAAGTTTCAAGAGGGAGTTGGCCTAAACTTCAAATGTTGATTTATATGGTTTCAGACTAACTGAATTCCTGTAAATGTGATTTACTCCTTCAGCTATACTTGAAATGCCACCACTCTAGAAGTGAATCTGTCTCCGATAATGCGGAGTTTATAAAAGCTTCGACGGGAAACGGCGCCTAATCTGGTGGGTCCGAATCGCAATTGATAGCATCAAGTATCGCATGATGGATATCGTCGTGTGCAGAAAAAATGAACCATAAACTGAAAAGCTTTGAAGCACTGTACAGTTCTTCCGACGTGATTTGGTCTCAAGCCAAAGTGGAAAACGGTCAGATCAACGGCCCGGTGGTCAATTTGGTAATATGCCTGCATTCTACCTGTGAAGTTCCGGGTCCGATCCCCAGTTGGGTGGATGGGTTCGCACTGTTGATGAAACCCAATTGATTGATTGATTCACATCTAATGAGCTCCAAAAACCGCGCTTTGAGTAGGTCGTAAAGTGGGATAATCGAATAGACAAAGAATATTTGTTAAAGAACAGCTCATTGGAGCACTGTGTCAACATCAAGGGTATGATGTGCAATCGTTGGAGAGGACTCATTCTCCAGCTTTATAGATGTCAACGTCAACGGACAGCGATATACGAAAAAGCTAACTTCTCTGATTACTACCAATCTCACGAAAATCGTCCGTCCCCAAACTAGAAGCAATAATCAACGAGTTTTATGGTTCCTTCAGCTTTTTGAAGTTAATTATCTCATTCTGATGAACAATCGGATGAGTAAGCCCCATGGTCTTGGGTGTCCATCGTTTGGTTATAAAAACAGACAATTTGGAGTAGCCAAATACGTAAAGCGAAAATAGGATAGGCATTATAGCGTTAAGTCCGACGATAGCAAAGCCGTCTTTCACCGGAGTTAGATGGCGGTGGTAGGATTCAAATCCCGTACCGTATGGCCTTAAGCAAGCTAGAGATAGCAAATTAAGTCGTTTCATCACCAGCCAAAACGTTGGTTTCCAACAGTAGTGTAATCAGATAAGTGGTTTGAAAGTGTGCATTGTCACATAGGAGAACGCTTTCTTTGACAAATATCACACCAAATTTAACTGGCTAGGTTTTTGTTTACCTTTTGAAAAAATCCTGCGTTTGTAAATGCTGAAAGTTAGTTGAAACAATCGACAGGTACTGGGTTTCATGCGAGACAGTTGTTTTGGTATCGTGCAATAGATAGCCAATGCGAATGAAATCTAATTGTAATCTGTCATGTCAATCGTTGCAGCTGGTGTGGAATTTCTTTTTGTGCATAACACATTCCATCGAGTTGCATCACTACTATTCGTAAATTAACTGGTGTATTCATTTGCTGACGCAAGCTCCCTCTCTTAGGGGATTGATGAATCACTGGTCTTGTCATGATTAGCTAGCTTTATGTCTGCTCACTAATGCCTATCTCCCTGACCACCCACTGATCTATTGTCATTGTTGTCATCGTCGTGTACTTTCGTACTTGCCATTCCGTCCTTTATTGACAACCGAACGAACGGGAATCCTCCCCCACGATGTTTTGATTTATTACCAGAATTTTGTCCGATAACAGTGCCAATGGTTGTCGACTTCGAAGTTTCCCCAATCATATGCTTTGTTGGTCCGTCGCTGAAAATCGTCTCTTTGGTGTTTGACAATTACAAGCATAATTATTGTTTCTAAATGTTTCTCTTTTTGACTTTTGACTCACTGTGTATCGTGATCATAATTTTTGTATCCGGTGCTCATAATCAGAAAATGTGCAGGCAAGGGCAATTGTGATTCTCGATGTTCTCCCCTTTTTCCCCAAACATAATCGGTTTTCGCTAAAATAAAATTATTGAAGGTAAAACAGTTACGGACGATCGCTTGATTACTCGTTTTTGTACGGGATCCGTGAGGAAGGGTAATGGAAGAGGCGAGTTCCGTTTAGTAGAACAATATATAGAATAGGGATAAGTAAGCGAACGCTCGATGGTGAGTCAATAATTACAAATTTTAAGTTTGGAACGGTTTTTCAATCAAGGGAGTGGTCCGATCAAGAGGAAATATCAAAATAGATAAAGCACCACACGTGGTTGTACTATTCAAGTTTAAGGAGAACCTGAACTTTGTCAAGTGTTGAGGTGAACGATAGCAAAGGAACATCTGGCTCAGAAAATAAATTCAATATTTCACTCAGCACGACAAACAAAACTGCACCAATCGAAAGAATCATCAGAGCCTTGTACATGCATAGTTTGATCCCCCCCAAAGAAATGGTATTGACGGAGGTAGTAAATAACCACAGTTGGCCAATCTACGACGAAATTGAATGATTGTGAATATCTTTATTATGATGGGTATCACGGACCCTGCATAGGAACTTAGGCGGTATCTCTTGGTTCATTGATTCTGGATACTCATGCATCATGCTACATTCTTGTATTCTTATGATGATATACGAATAACTTGCACTGTACCATCTTTCTACTCAACAGGTGTCTCATTACGAAACATTTAGTAATGCCTTTATATATATATATATATATATACCATAAAACGCCACTACTGAGCCGAAATCTTCAGTTTGCTCTCATTGTTTGAATATTTCCACCTAGCTCTTAGCTGTGCAAAATCCATACACCAGGAGTAATCCCACTGTTTATACTGGTAGATAATAGGTTTTTCGGTGCTTCCTTCATGATCGTGGGTATTGTGGAATGGTTGGTTCGAACAATTTGGGTTCATAAGGTTAGTGTGGGCATTTTCACGCAGAATGTTTTAGTCACAGCACTTGCATTTTTCTCCCCGAGTTTTAGTGCATAGATTTAATTAATTTACGGATTCTGAATAAGTCATTTCCATTGAAATGGAAGTATTTATGGTAATACCCCCTTAATTTGTTCGAATATCACAGCTTTGAGGTGTTATTCTACTGAATATTACCTTATTTTGTATTTTCGTAATTTGTGTTACAGGTAAATTGAAACATCTGAATGGAAACTGTGCGCTATTATAATTGAATATCAAAACGATTTTTCCCCTTAGTGTTCGTTTAGAGTTTGAGCATTGATATGACTACCTAGATTTTGAAGACTTGTTCTTATTATCCCGTTTTTTCAACTGAAGCAAACTCTGGTTTTTTTGGTCCTGAGAGTGCAGGGTCGTTACACTCTGTTATCCAAACTTCCAGTGACAATAACCACTTATAAATGAGAAATGCTTCTCTAATCATTTTTTCCAGTGGTCTTTTCTTTCGGGTTTGTGTGCCACCGTCGTAAATACTCTCCGTATTTGTCACAGATCTCAGATTGCGAAAGTGCTCAACCATCGAGTTCGCTTTTAACAGTCCGATCTGACTGTTTACGGAGCAGCGTCATTTGAAGCGAAAATGGTGGGCCGACATTTTGCGTTCAGTTCATTCGTTTGATTCTTTATGTTGCGTTCGGTTTGTTTTGCAGTGATATGCTTTCCTGATCCTTTTTTATCCGATGTGCTCATGTCATTTCATGTTCGTTTTCAATTGTAGCGCAATTGTTGGGTACAGGACTTATTCTTGGATTTACGCAGTGGCTACCTCCTTGTTCGGTTGTTGGAAATACTCACCAATGAAGTCCTTGTAAGTTGAATCTCAAGCGTGGTTTGTTTGGCTTTCCCATTGTTAGCAACGCGTGCCGCTCTGTGCAATTTCTTTAGTCTCGAATTGCCTTGCTTGTGTGTAATTACAGTTGCCCAAGGTAACATTTGTGTCCAATTTCTGTAATTTGTTCGACAAAGTGATAGCACACAAGGACGGAACCCCATTTATATGGTGTTTTAACGATTCAGCTGGTCCTTCGAACTGGGTACTTCTAGCTATGGCATCCAATCTTTCCTATTTTATATGTTTTAGTAGGTGTTGTTATAAGGAGCATTTTCTGTTTGCATAACTTAACTTGCTTTCCTCCTAGAATTTCATTGAAATGCGGAAAAGAGCCAGATTTAATCTTCCGAGTGATTTATTACGAATCTAGTTTCTTTCTGACGAGACGTTTTTCTTTGTTTCGTCCTCTAATGACAGTTGTACCGGGGAATAGAAGATGGCGTAGATTCGGTGTTCATTTTCTATGTTTAAATCCAAAAGACAGTGCATAGAGCGGGCATGTCAAACTGAGGGTCGGCCTAGTGCTGCAGGCACTCAATCAGATCCGAGAGGGGCAAGCGTGCTTCAGTTATAAAAATGAGTACGACGTAAATTCCGCATTGCTGATGTCCCTACAGCTGACATAAAATTTGTTTGGTGAAAGACGCTAGCTTGTCTCATAGTGGGGTTCGCGTTTCTTTGATGCATTCTAAGTCAATCAAAAGATGATAGACTAATCCTAAGTGTGAAAAAGCATTCTGACTTGAGAAAACAATGTCGATTTTCTGTTAACGATGAACGTTTGTCTTGTTCTAATTATAAACATTCGAATTGCTCTCGCTAAATGATCAAAAAATACGATCCTTTTTATGCACGCCATAGGCTTGCTTGCAGGGAGCCACATGTTTTCCTCAAGTTGTGTGTGTGTTGGACTTAAAATAAAGCAATTGATTTACGCACTATAATCGATAAGGAATCCCATGATTGAATTGCCAACAATCATTACTGGATGTGCCGTAACGTACTTTTTCAGTTTTCCTCGTCTAACAATGGAATTACCTGGGTGTTACATTTCTTCCTTTTTCCGAACTCATTGATTCACCGTTCTTTGTTCCAGTCGTAGTGCTGATGATTAAAAATTCTTGCCCCCCGTGAATGTAATCTAGCGATATGTTCTAGCTCATTGGTAGTTGTGGTGGTCTCCAGTGTGTAGCTGTCGAATGACGCTGGATTAGCCATTACTGCACATAAAAACCCCTGTATTTCAAATGCACCGCTCAAATGATATGGGATCTGTTACCGTCGATTGCCTTTATCTGGATGTCAAATCAGTTCGCTCTCCTATATTTCATAATGTCAGTGGGAGATTTTTGTCGGTCCTAAATGGTTCACCACGTTCGATTTCAATACTTGAGTTGCCGATTTTAATGTATATGATCCTTATTTTTGGGTGGTTCGCCAGTAATACTGGTCACATAGACTTGTATTAGAAAAGCGGTTTTCCGTTTATTATCTCACCGTTCATCAGTTTTGAGCATGTCTGTTACGCATCACCATCATCCCCTCCCCTCTCGAGAATCCGGTTAGAATGGGGTGTCCTCGTATCCGAATTGAAGCGAAGCCCGCGTGGGTCTTGGGCACTTTAAATTGCTTAACTTCGCCTACCTTCTGTTTGCTAAAGCTGATAAATCTGCTCTTAGGGTCCAGTCAGACACTCATCAAAGAAATGCTACGCCTTTGAAATGATGTGGAATGATTGTAGTTCGGGATGCGGATGTTGGTGTTGGCGAGTTCTCCGAGCTGGAAGTGTAGTTCGTAGACGTTTCGTAGCCAAGCTAGGCAATATCATTAGTGCGACTTCAAAGTCGCACCCCAACATCACTATCCCACTTTGGTGCTGTCGGCCGACCCATTGGCAAATCTACATTCTTGCAAGTAAGGTTATTGGTTGTCATAACCAAGCAATGTGCTGCCGTCTTTATGGTTTACATTTCCTCTGCTGTGCATCGTCCAGTGGCATGTGGTGTGAAGATCTACATAAATTCAGCCTCATTTGAATCGTCACTATCTTTCAAGGACGAATTTGTGAATTTTCCCCATTTTTTCAATGGACGCCATTCAACCGTATGAATAAACTCAATTAGATCAATCAAAGCCAAGCTTTGAATTAAATGACTCCGGTTTGTTTGAATCACATGCCAGATTTACTTGTCATTTTCTGAACGCATTTTCTACCATAGCTAAGTGCAATTCGTTCTTCTTTGCAAAGTTCAAACAGATTTGTTGAAAGTTCTTGAATCCTCATCTACAGTAGTCGTATTATGAAAAGTATAGAGACATGTCTTGGTGTAATTCGTTCGTTTAAAAAAAATTCTGCTCATTAGAACTACGCATCTAATGGCCACGAGTCCGATCTATTCACAGCCGTGCATGTGCACGTGGAACCCACACGGTGCTCTGATTAGGTTGTTCGTTCTGCGACGATAAGCTTGTGAATGCGTGCATACATGTATGTGTATATACATATACGGAACCAAGAGCAGCTTTTTTAATTTTGTCACCCAGTCTCGCACTACTTGGTTGTAGTCGCTGCAACTTTTCTCACGTCTATCCGCTCATGATCACAGCGGTTCCACTAGAACACCTTTGTTTGTGTTTTCAAATCTATGTGACATCCACCAACCCACCTGCAAATCTTGTTATGTTTGCCTGGTTGAGTTTACACTCTGTTGTGCTGTTTCGTGTTTTAGGACTAGGCCATGTTCTAGTTGGATGTGCTTTCACTCGACAACGTTCACAGAACCTCGGCCGTTATGTTGTTTGAAGTACGTATGTGGATCGGAATGATGTGCTTCCGTCCCGTCGCTTTTGTTTATTAACACATTGCAACCAGGTATTAATATGTTCTGTGATGAGGCTAATCCGTACAGACACAAAAACTTCACGATTGATGTCTTCCTCGTAAGAAATGCTTCACCGTTATTTTGTTTGGCAGAACGTGAACCGGGATAAGTGCGTAAAATAGCATTACCGAAATCATCACTTAGACTGCGCACTTGTTCGAGTATTGCAGATGCATTTACGTAGGTCTTTGTTTTTGATCAATTTATGAGACTTCCACTACCTCATATGGATATGTTTTGTTGCAAGTAATAAATATATGATGCCCCTACCAGACCTCGGTCCATGTTTGACAATGCTTGGCATCATCTAATGTACTCTGCGTTACAAGGTAGTTTTTAGCATTCAGACAAGTATGCAGAACTATCGTCGTATTGTTCAGAACCTCCCGTGGATGATTGTTCTAACTACCGGGCCTTTGTAGATGGGATCTCTGTGTCTTTCGATTTAGTTCCATTTGTGTGTATATTTTGGTCTTTCGGTTTTTCCGTTTCACTTATTTGTGCCCCAGTCGATAATTTACATTATCGTTGCTGTTTGGTTGGCACCAATCTTACCCTCAATATATAATTCTGGTAGACTACGGTTGCAAGAACATCAGATAGATGTGCGGGTGTCACTGCTTACGACACAGTTGTATCGTTCAGCGAGCGCCTCGTGCCATCGTTTACATTGATCCCGAGGTCCTCAAGCGGGAAGCTTAACATAACCTATGTGAGCGAGTCTCCTGGTCGGAGTTTGTTTGTTCGTGGCTACTGATGATTGCAAACAACTTTGTGGAGCAACAGGAGCAAGCTGGGTCTCAAACGGGAAGCAGTGAATGCTACTCACCCTCTAGACTTCTTGGATCAGAGGTGTTATCTCTACCTGATGCCACATTCGTCCCATTTTAACCATTAACTATTTTGATTGTCACTTGTTTCTTTTAAAAACTGTGTTTCCGATGCACACTCGGTCAGAAAAAGCGGTTTTCCTTTCTGATTGTGATTTAACAATATTGTGTTAACTGTTTTCTCGCAATCTCAGCCTAATCAGATAGTTTACTTTTTCCATTTTTCTGCAGGGACTAGAGTACATTGAGAGTCGCGTGCATTGGATACAGAACGTGCAACGAGTTCTTAATTTCCTACGCTATCGTGGAGTAAGTCGGAGTTCTTTTTTGTGTTTTTACTCTGCTTGATATCTCCTCACTTTGAAATTCTGATTTCCTTTTCTTATTCTATGATATTAGGTGTGTTCGGATTGGGGGTGGAGTTCGGGCGTCTGCTTGCTAACCTGAGAAACTGATTGCCTTGGTTTAAAAACAATCAGCATTTGGCTGACGTCATCTCGCGTAATATTTTAGATCGCTTTCGCGTTAGATCCAACGATTCTGCACGTGATTGTGTCAGTCATTAGCACTTTTTTTTTTTACCAGCAACCAGTTAATTTTTCTGTGGTTGTGAATCGCGGGTATCGTTTGTTAGGGCTCAAACATCGACGCGTATTACCTCTAGGGTATTTCCACTACATTCATTTGATGCAAAAAATGGTTTTGTGCTACCGATTGGATTGCGCCATTTATGATATCATTGTGATGAATAATCCACGTGCACAATTAGGCCCTAGGCTAGCCGCTGAAATAAGCTTATCTATTAAAGACAACGACGATTTATATGTATAATCGATCTGTAGATGAACGGCGCATTAGCATTCCAAACGATCAATGATGTCAATTATGTCCAATAAACGAAGATGTTTAAAACGGGATCAGATAGTGCTCGGTGTTGCTGGTGACCTAGTAGAGGCAGAAACCCTGTTCCTGCCCTGTTTACATGAATGACACTTTACTTCTTAGTGGAAGTCATAAAACTGTGCGGTCGACCTATGATTGTAAGGCAAACGACTCATCTGTTTGTCGCCACAGCCACTAACGGTTGTATCACATTCGACAAATTTGTGTGTCCAGTATAATATGAAGTTTGGTTTACCGGTTACTTAGCCAATCACGGAGTGTGTACTTGGTAGTGTGCATCATTCTGAGTTATTCCGTTACGGTTGTATTGCGTTACGGGAATGAAGCGATTGTTCGTTTAGACATTCCGCCTTATCAAACTTTGGGTTGAATCGTGTTCTCATATTTCCGTCCTTTTTGGAATTGTTTATCTACCTATTTCATGCAAATGCGCAAATCTGGCGTTGACACTGACTCGCCTATTGACGATTCCTTTTTTCTCTGATCTCGAAATTCGCGGTGTTTCCACTTTTCTGCACTAGTCTGTTTGTAATACCCTTTTTATGCATCCGATTCGAGTAGACGTTTTCCGATCTCGGTTGTTTTCCCCGTCAACACGCACACACACACAAGTACAACCCTATCTGTTTGCTTTTACATCGATCTATTCCTTCAACGGAGTGTGTTTGGAACGCTGTCGACTTTGCTGTGTTCCACTGAGGGATATAGGTCCTTTCTGGTCCATGACTCATTTAGTCGAATTTCTTTCCTTGGTACTGTGTGCATGCGTGAATGTGTGTTTGTGTACACCCACGCTTGGCGCTCCTTGACACTTGTTCGCCGATTTACCCACCAGTCTATGGTTCCGCCCACTAGCTGTACACTCGAATTGGTCTGTTCCGTCCCGATTTGGTTCCTTTTCGGTCAACCACGTGTTTGCACCACCTAAGCCGATTATCGACATATTGCTGATCTCTTGTTTTTTTGCATAAACAATTGAACACCAATCCCTGTCAATTCAAGCTTGCTGTTGCATATTCACGTTCCTTGTTTTGATAAGCATTTTCCGGTCACACGACGAATAATGTGTTTGGAATTTGATGTAGCAACTCCAGCACGCTTCAGTGATACTCTGCTCATCTAGCCTTTACTTCTTCACGAATACATGCGCCACTCTTTCCTTCAGCCTTTTGGATACCAGTAGTCGATATTCAGTTTGTTCTCATGTGGCTGCTAATGCCACTCCAAAGTTCTCGCGATCGTGGGTGATCAATCGTTTGGTCAGATCAGATTTCCATTCTACACAATCCCATCTAATCTTTTTTGTCGCTCTATCTCTGATTTTCTATCCGGATCAGATGAATTTTCGGTCCGTATGTGATGCAGGAGTAAATATTCCGTTTTTGTGTTGATGTTCCAAATTGTGTCTTGTTTCCTCTCACACATCAATCTAATCTGGAGTTGGTAGATGGAGCGTGAGGGAATGGGGGTGGGGCTCACCGCTTTTAACGGAGTCTGATTTAACACAAGTCACACAATAAGTGACTCAAAGCATCTGGATTTTCAATTGCCGTTTTTATGGATATATGGACTGCTGCACGGAAGGCTACATGTACACAATGAGGTTTACTATACAGTCGATTCAAATACAGCACCACTTATGCATGACGCATTGGTCCAACTTTTGACTTTTTAACGAATTGATTATACCGTTGACATCGTTTATGGTTGCTACGAACTGTCCAATGATTTTATGATGTTGGGCGAAAAGTTGGTTTCCTCCATAATTGAAACCACATATAGCATATAATATGGCATGATTATAGCTCGGGATGCGAATGTTGTTGTTTGCAAACGTTTCGTAGCCAGTCTAGGCAACATCATCCCCGAAGTTGCACTAATGATTGGTTTTATTTGGCTTATAAACCACCTATTGTTAAATGAAACCTGAAGAAAACCCACTCGTGTTTACTCCTCGACTTGCTACCTCGTTACCTCATCCCATTTTCTCTACCACCTACCCGAAATCATTTGCGATTTATTTTAACCAGATTCGTATAGTCAATATTCGAGCCGATGAAATTGTGGATGGCAATCCGAAATTGACACTTGGTCTCATATGGATCATCATCCTTCACTTTCATGTGAGTTTTTACCTCATTGATGCGTGTCTTGGGAATCTGACTTCTCTGCACTCTCTCCCACTTTGCATTGCATCGTCTCCATCTATCGAATTCGTGCATAGTGCAATTCTTCGATTGTAAAAGGTTTACTTATCTACGCATTATCATTTCTTTCTCTGTTCGTTTCCCTGCGCTCGATATCCTAATGTTTGTAGGGATTTTAGCTTTCGAAGGTCAATGTATTCATCAATTATGTTTTCCATCAAACGCCCGCAATATATGCTACATAGTTTCGCTTCTCTCTCCCCCTCCCCCTATCTATTAGGGTATTATTGTTGTATTTATTGAGTATGGAAAAATTAAGCGCTACACCACTGTGTTCCCGTTCTGTTTTCTGTATTCAAACACCCGTTAAATCGTACCTCACAAATTGGGTAAGATTGCCGAGTGGAAAGTTGTGCAGTCCGTTCGGTACTTTCGAAATCAGAGCTTAAGAAAAGACATAGCTGAACACAGGAAAAAGTCTTGTGGAAATCAATATTCCCTTTTCTCTGGCCTCACTGATGTGATTCTTGACTAACAGTGTTTAAACATGAATGTACACGTCTAATTTCATAACCGGATCAGCAGTGTTGTAGGACACGGGGAACCCGAAGTTGAGTACAGACAGATTACTTATCTGTTTAGCCTTAAGTGTTTTCCCTTAAATAGACTTTCTCAACAGATTACGTGTCTATATGGTTGTTCATTGGAACAGCGGGAAAGAGAGATAGTATTCAGTTTGATTAAAAAACTTGTTAAAGCCTGACTGATTACCTAGTCTGGGATAATTCACTTTGGTTTCGCACTTACGATCCGCAAGACTCGAGAAGCTTTAGTAGGCATCGCGCATAACGGTGTTCATACATCTCTTCAATTATAGCTCATTCACTTAGTTCGTCATTGATCATTAGCTTTTTGTTCACCGAAAATTCTGTTACACCGCTCCCCTCAATTGTTTCGTTAACACAACAAGCACAACAAGCACAACCTGAACACTTCTTTCCATAGTTCTCTGGCGCGAATTGAAATGGATAAACTGACTGTTCTTCTTAATCCAGCTTTAATCCTTTTCAAGACAACATCCACTGAGTCGATACTTCGGTATAATCGTTTGATCAGCTAAGTTCAGTTTATTCACATACCGTTTTCACCCTTGAAGGATCATAGTTTCAATGTTGTGTTGAGAATGAACTCCCGTTACCACTTCTCTTTAATCTAATTTTAGTCTACACTCATCTCTATTACACCTCATAGACAAATTCATCGTCGTGACTCCCCAACTGATCTTCATGCATGTCTAAAGGTCACTTTCTAAGTTTAGAAATTCAAATGGAAGTCGGACTGCATGTTCCAGGGCGTTTTATTCAGACTAACCAATTATAACGTCAGTTAGTCGAACAATATCGTACCAGTGTACTCCGGCCAACGTGTACATGGTCAGTGCCACATGTAAACCGTTACCCTAGACGGACAGCAGGTTGCGTCAGACTTTTATTCGTGATTTGTCAAGTTTTTGATGATCACACCTAGTCGCCCTTTGTCTGACGAACTTTTATCGTGATTTGCGGTCTCCGTATTTTATTTTTCCTCTGTTCAAGAAGAAATTGATGAAACGATAGTCGACTACTCTTGCATTCTGACAGGAGAGAGAGAGTATATGAATCAATCGTCATCGTTTCTCACTAGTCTTAGTTACCGGTGGTTGATGGGCAGTTGCGTTCATCCGTGCCCGAATAGTTGGTTCTTAGAACTACTTCGTATTGGTTACATCGGTTGCTTACTTA